ATGACATTTAGGGGGTGGCAAATGCTAATGTGGACTTTTTCATTGTTTGCTGAGTAGCGTGGTAAAACACTTTCTTTAAAAAAGCGTTGCTCATGGTCACTGAGGTGTGGTGGAATGGCTTGTACATTTATATTTTTTAAATTTAAGCACTGTGTTTTATACTGCTTCAAACTCGGTCTTTCATGATAAATAATGGATGTCCTTTTTTCTGTAACCTGCTCTAAATTTGGGTTTTAGTGCTCCCAAAGTAACATTTTACTGCTTCAAAAATTGCTCTGAATTCTAATTTGGCTCTTGCACCCCTGGATATACCTTCACTTACTCCAGCGAAGGTCTCGTGGAGTGTGGTAGATGTATCAGCCAGCGCTGGACAGCTTCAGTGCTCTGGGCATCTGTGTTGGCTCTATGCGTAGTACATACCTTAATTGCACATGAACACTGATGCAGGGATACTGTTCACTGTGTACATGCTGAAATGTTACTTCATAATCATCATCAGTTGCTTCTTAACTATCCCACTGCGGAGCAAAGGTCTCTCCTATGATCCACCAATCAACTCGGTCTAGTGCTTTCTGTTGCCAAGTTATACCTGCCAACTTTTTAATCTCATTGGCCCATCTAACACTCTGTCTCCCCTTCTTGCATTTTTCTTCTCTGGGAATCTAGTCACTTACCCTTGATGACTGTCAGCTATCCTGCCTACGTGCTACGTGCTCAGCCCATGTTCATTTCTTCTTTGATTTGTTACTTAAAGTGACACCTATTTTTTTTTTTTTTTTCATCGCTCACTGCGTCGTCCTCAATTTGAGCTAAACCCGCTTTGTAAGCCGCTATGTTTCTGCTCCATAGCTGAGTACTGGCAAGATGCAACTGTTATATACCTTTCTCTTGAGGGTTAGTGGCAGATTACCATGCATAATTTGAGAATGCTTGGCGAATGTGATCCGTCCCATCCTTATTCTTCTAGTTATTTGACTCTCATGGTTCAGCTCAGTGGTTACTACCTGTCCTGAGTAGACGTATTTTTTTAAAACTTCCAGTGTCTCTCCACCTAACACAAAGTGCTGTTTTCTGATGAGAGTTTGGTTTTGTGCATATTAATTTTCAGACCTACTTTTTGCTTTTCTTGTCCAGTTCCGTAATCATGAGCTGTAATGTATCTGCTGAGTTACACACCAAGACAATGTCATCAGCGAATCGCAAGTTACTAAGATACTTTCCATTAACTCTTATCCCTAACTCTTCTCAATCTAGGGTCCTGAAAACCTCCTGTAAACACGCGGTGAATAGCATTGGAGAGATGGTGTTTCCCTGCCTTACACTCTTCTTGATTGGTGTCCTGTCGCTTTCTTTATGGAAAACTATGGTGGCTGTGGATCCACTGTAGGTGTCTTCCAGTATGTTTATGTAGGGTTTTTCGATGCGCTGATTTTATAGTGCTTGCATTACTGCAAATGTCTCAACTTAGTCAAATGCCTTCTCGTAAACTATGAAGGCTATGTATAGGGGTTGGTTGTGTTCTGCACATTTTTCTATTACCTGATTGATAGTATGAATATTGTGTTGTAAAATAGCTTGTACGAAATCCTTCTTAGTCCTTTGGTTGATTGAACTCTAGTCTCTCCTTAATTCCATGAGCTATTATTTTTGTATATAGTTTGTAGAAAACGGATACCTGATTGATAGTATGAATATGGTAACTTGTGGAGTAGCCTCTACGGAATCCTGCTTGGTCCTTTGGTTGATTGAGCTCTAATGCCACCTTAATTCTATTGCTATTATTTTTGTAAATAGTTTGTATAAAATGGACAGTAAGCTGATTGGCCTGTAATTTTTCAAGTCCTTGAAATCTCCATTTTTTATGAATTAGGATCATGTTGGCCTTCTTCCCTGTGTCTGGTACCCTTCTGGTCAAGAGACACCTCATATATAAGGTGGCCAATTTTTCTAACATAATTTCTCCCCCATCTTTCAGGGGGTCCGTTGTTGCCTTATTCTAATCAGCAGCTTTGCCTCTTTGCATTCCTTCTAGGGCTTTCCTTACTTCAACTGTCGTTACTGGTATAATGTCGAAGTTCTCTGTACTATTATTCTCACATTATCATCCTGGTTGTTTTGGCTTCTGTACAGCTCTCTGTAGAACTCCTCCGCCACCTTGGCTATCTTATCCTTATTGGTTATGACATTGCCTTCTTTGTTTCTCAATGCATACAAACATTACTCACATGGCCTTTATTTGATGTAAAAATTCATTGACTCGCAATAAAACAGTATATTGCTGCAGGTTTGTGTGTTCAGCGTTATCGTTTTGCTCGGCCTGTATGCAGCATCACTCACTTACTAAAGTAAGCATGCAAGATACTCGTGAGTTTCCAGTAAGTAGTGTATTGCATCGTACTATATGGAAACGAGAGAAAAGGGGTTGCTCTAACGAGCGAGGGTCAGCCATGATGCAGAATCAGAAGACGACTGTGTCGTCTGCTATGTGGAAGGCCAGCCGCCATATCGAAACACTCTGGTGCTTCTGAAACCTATTTCATTATATACGCAGCTATAAGTTATACAAACAATATTCTTAGTTATTATTTCAGTTGCAAGTAAAATAGTAATTTTCTAACCTTTTCACAATGGCCACCAGAATCCAGACAGCGCTATCATCACGTCCAATTTTCAAATCTATTGGCTTTATGGGCATGTCACTCCCTTGAGACATGTCATTGCGACGCCGCCAATAGAGCACGATCACAGAACACTACACACACACTACAAACGTTCTGCGTCAACGCGTGCAACGAACTTACTTGGTAGATTCTGTGCTGCACGGTTGTGTCGTCCGCAATCTCCGAAGCCAGCGTAGCTCTTGTCAATTGGTTCGCCGTTCATGAACTCGTGGTGTTGTATAGCTCACGCCGAGCGGTGCTCCGTCCTTGGACTGCTTCAACCGTGTCCCAATCTTTAACATTACTCAATCTTTACTTTTCAATCTTGCCCATTTAATCCCTCCTTATTCCATTCCTTTCGAGCTAATGCTGAGGTGTCGCACTTAGCTGCAGACAGTTGCGGGGCTCACTTTTCTCTTTTTTTTCTCCTAGTTAAAAACCACTTGCCCCCAATGCGTGCTACTCAGGCAGGTGAACGAACCTGAAGAACTTCAATGCATGTAGTAGTGAACTGGGTCAGAGGTTTATGTATGTACATACATATATGTGGATGCACTGTTAAGAGTGTTTTCTTGAGACATTCATATCCCCATTTTGGGTTTCACATGTCTCTATGCGGATATCAATCCACAGCGCGCAAAATCGAATTGCGTTCGCATGACGTCGGTGTTGTCAGCGTCTCTTTAACATAATTAGCTGTTATTAATGGGGTCACGATTTCATTGTATGACTATATTTTTGCCGAGTATGATTAACCGCTCCACGCTCCGCGAGCTCCATGACACACAAGGAGTTGGTGAAAGTTCAGAAATTCGACAAACAGAGCTCGACAAATAAAAAAAAATAAGGACTCTCCACTTTTCCTAATGGCGATGTGTCGGCCTCCCCCGGGACATCGCCAACATCGCCTCATCATCTGCCTTTCAAGACCGTATTATTGATCATCTTCAATGCTAAAACAACTCTTACTGCTTATTGTTAACCTAAATAAAACCCAACCCCTTATGTAATGCCCCTCCTAGAAAGGGGGGCCTTTAAGGTAATAAACTGAACTGAACTGAGCTGCAGGGAGCCATCACGGAAAACCTTTCCTCAAAGGTCGTACTCACACGGAATAAGAAAAATAGCCAGCATGGCGGGCAGTTCACAAAAGAGGGGAAAATAGTGTTTTAGAGCGGCAAGCGTACTGGTCGACCCTGTCCCTGTCGGCAGAGTAGGTGGCATAAGACTGGCGTTGACTGTGCCGCTTTATTGGCTCGGTACAATGTTTAATGTGGGCATCTGCTTGAAACATAAGCTCATAAAAAATTTCAAATAAAAAAGTAATGCTCAACAGTTGCTTCTGTTGGTTTGAGTGGGTTCGTTCTTAGTCGGCTGCACCCACATAATTTCCGAGATGGTGTCTCAAACTTCTTTTGCACGCAAACAGCACAATGATGGCCTCCAAAATGCCCATAAGTTGACTTTTAAAATTGATGGCATTGTCTACCCTAAATTATTCTGAAATAAACAGGTTATAAAATATATTTTGTGTCTTATCACACGTAGCAGATACTTTGCTTGGTTGTCAATGAATAAATCTTTGAATAACAGTAAAAAATCTTGCTGGTCGCGCTATATTGGAAAGGCAGTTTTGTTTTCACTTCGCAAATGTCACAACAGGCTACAATAATGCAGAAAAGAGAAAGCCGTGGCCGCAACTTTTGCATGCTGTTCATTTTAAGGGACGATCGTCAAGACACGGTAACAATTGCATTGTGTGCTGTATCACGAACTAGCCCAAATCGAGGAAGTCAGCATGCTAAGTCGCGGTGCTGTGATCAATTTGTCAAATAGTTCTTTTGCTTTTTCTTCGCTTGTGCTTTAGTACATGCTTATGAGTGGTGGCAAGTCACGAAATTTGAAATATAGAAAAGTGTGTAAAATAGAAGGTATTGTGATTGTGGTCGAGAAAGTTTGAACCGTATTTCGTAGCTTAAAGACACAGCTTGTGGTTTTAAGGTAACCTGCACCGTTTTCGTGTGCATGTTCTTCTTGCTAAGTACATGGGCACCTGTTTTGATGTGAATACTGAACGTACATTGAGCTTATAATTTTGCGGCGGCATTGCATTAACATTGTTTAGTACCGTTTCATCAACATCACTGGAAAAAAATGTCAACATTTAGAAAATTATCAAAGTGTACAATGTTGTCTGAAGTTGTATAGGGAAACACAACATTCAAAACATTACTCTAATGTCGCAGCAATACCTAGTGCGGCCAGGGTGTCATTCAAACAAGTGCTCATTTGTATTTCATCGCATGCATCCACAATAAAGGAATTTTGACGTATGTGCAGGTTCACCATATCTGTGGGAGTCGAGCACAAAGTGACGGATGGGCCAGAAGGCTGCCGAGGCAATTGCAAATACGAGCAGTTGCACGAACATCGTGTTAACATGGAGACTGGTGATGCTCAGGCTCAGCACCGTGAAGTGCCTCCTCGACCTGCAGCTGGCAAGTATAATTGGCGAGAATCACTATGCTAGCTAGAGAGGACATCCTCTCCTGAAAAATGGGTGGACTAGTTCCATGGGTTTCTGCTGCCTATAACTGCTATCAATCTGCAATCTAACTTGAGGGTGGTTGCATTTGCATTTGGTTGCAAATTTGTAAAAGGGGCATTTGTCTGTCGAATGTGAGCTAATCATTGCAGAGCTCTCTCTCAAGGATCTCTGTGACCAAACCTCTTCACTCAGTCATATAACGTCGAGAATGGGCTTCAGGCTACCACTCAAGGCCAGCTAGGTTGAATAATAAAAACTAAAATAACATACTAGCCCATTTGCATCACTGCTGACATGACAGGGATAATCAGCACCTTAAGCCTCTCCAAAATGAGTGCCTCACCAGTGATCACTACTTTAGTCCACCTGGTGTGAGACTACCCTGTTTCATCCTGCAAACTTATTTTTGTCACTTTGTCTAACTTGCTGCCACCCTCGGATGCATTCCCTCACTGTTTGTGTTTGTGCATTGCATGACCACACCAGGTGCATTTCATACACTTCACTTGAATTAGAATATCAGCCGCTGCTGTTTCTTCGCTGATCCATTCTGCTTTCTTCCATGTCTATGAACTTCCTTTTTAATGCACACTGTGTGGTTTTAATGCTTTCGAATATTTTGTTTATCGAACAAACTGCTATGGGAGGTGCCATATCACAGAAACCATGCCTGTGCCTCATTTTCTTGGTGAATACCTTAATTGATTGGCACGGACTTCTTCGCTGACACTCCGTTATTCTTGCCTCGTGTGTCCAGAGATAACAGCACAAAATAATAGCACAGCAGCAGAATCCTGGCTGTAGGTTGACAGTGCCTCCATTATGCACTGAAAGGCTGCCGATGTATGCACTTGGATGGTCAGACTTTGCAATTGGTATTACTACAATTTTAAAGCTTGGTGTGGCTCAGAAATGAACAAGAAGCATCTGTACTCACTCTAATCTACACATTGCTTTTTTAGGCAGCAAGTTTAGTAAATGCCTTTTGTGTATAAAAAAACTTGTCAATTCTTTGAGGCAGCAAGTCTGTGGTAGAATTGTCGAGTGATGACAGCCCACGGAGCAAGAACTCTTGAGGACCGAAACTGCACTCACTTGGGCGCCTCGAAAACGTCACGAAATTGGGCACGGCACTTATGCGTCCTTTTTGGTGAAACTCCACTAGGGGACGAGAAAAAATGTGTGTGTCGCTCTCACTGTGCTTTCAATCAAAGCCACTTTGCGCTGATTCGCCGTTCGCGCAGATTCCCCATTCGCGCTTCACGTCTAACTGTCCCAATTTCAATGTGACAGGGTTAAAGAGCTTATTTTGCAGGAAGACCGGCTTTGGCATTGTTTCTTGGGAAGGAAAAAATCAGCGCTATCCGTAACTGCCAAATTAAGAAAGATGCAAATGTCTTCTGTTCTAGGCACGTTTTAGGTAGGAATTGCACCCACGCAATCTTCATGCCATGCAGATGTTCAACTACAGAACTACAACACTGCTGGAAATTGCTTTGAAAAAAAAAGATCTACGTGAATGTCATGCAGTGTCATGCAACATGGCGTGGCACATATTGCAGTCGCCGTCTGAGAAGTGCTTCTCACAAATTTATTCACGAAGCATCAGCTCGCGATCTTTTTTAGGTATGGCGTGAGCCCACACTTCCAACCTGACTGGGTCACTAGGAACTTTTGAATTAACTATCTGCCCAACCACTGTTGCGATTGGGCACAACGTATTTCCACCCCACCTGAAGAAGCATTGCTCGAATTCTGCAAAGCGCTCTTCATTGTTGCGGCGGGAAAAGTGCGCACAATCAGTCAGCGCCGCCGGCGCAATGCACCGAAGCTGCTGAGAGCACTAAAGAGAGAAAACGTCTGCATATTACGATTACGAAGCGATTCATGACAGCTTGTGAGGAGCTTGTGAGCATGTGCGCCCACAACATGTGAGCGAGGAGCAGGAGGCACGTGCATGCGGCAGCCGTCATCTGCAATAGGGCTATTACTAGCAGCTCATTTCAATCCAGGTGAAAATGATTCCCATTCCCAGCTGGTTATGGAACCTGGAAATTTTTCCAGGATGAAAATTCCAAATGAGAATGGGAAACGTTTCCAGTCTGGAAATATTTCCAGGTTCCATAATCCAGCAAAGAATGGAAATATTTCCAGCTGAGAATAGAAAAATTTCCAGCCAGGAAAAATTAACAGGTTCCATAATCCAGCAGGAAATGAAAGTATTCCCAGCTGAGAATGGAAAATTTATCTGCCTGGAAAAATTTCCAGGTTCAATAATGCAGCTGGGAATGGAAATATTCTTAGCTGAGAATGGAAACACTTTAAGCAGGAAATGGCTTGTTACAAGCCTTGAAAGAATGTCCAGATTTTAACCGCAATGCTGTTGCATACATATTGGCATCTAGTTTCTCAGGGCCTGTTCATACAGATTACTTAACACGGACGAAGAAATTGGCTTTGAATTTTAAAAACATTTATTTGAACGCTTGTACCAAGTGCACGAACGTATTTCGAGATGTGAAATGAGTTGCTTACATCTTTGTACACCACCTGAAGAATATGTTCATGTATAGTGAGCGCACATTAAAACCACACTGACATATGAAACGCTATTCTAGCAAAATTATAACCTCCCAACCCACATGAACAGCATCAATACGGCTTTGCAAAGCAGTACAATACACCTTTAACATACACCCAAAACAACAGCTAGCAGAGTGTAAAGCAAAGGTCCTTTTTAGAAAAGGTTTGATGGGCTTTGCAGTTTAAACTGCAACAATTATTAAGCAACATTGAAGCAAGAATTAGTTTTATATACCTTAAACTACTCTGAATAAACATCAAATTAATTCATGTGCACATATGTAATTACTAGCGTTAGTTTAAAAGACACATGCACGCCAATGGCACAAGCATTGAACGGAACATGGATATGGTGACAAAGTCTTTTTGCCCGAACCGGCCTGTAATGCAGTTTGCTCGTACAGAAACATTGCGCACAAAGATTCGGGACAAACGTGCCCAAAATATTTTTACGGGGATTACAAGCACACGGAAGAAAGAAATGAGTGTAATACCAATATTTACAGGTAGGTGAGAACCACAAGAGCTGCCAGCCTTTTGCGCGCTCAGTCCGCTTCTTCCTCTTCGATTAATCTATGACGGTGGGGCCATGCCCACTGCCTCGTAACATCACCCTCGAGGAACGAAGCGCCGTCACGGCGCCGGTAAGTTAGTCAGGACTGGCAGTGTAGTACCGTTTTAGTCGTGACACACCAACAACATCAGTAGGTGGTGTGGCAAAAGACGAGTGTGGTTAAACGGGAGTGATGAGGTAGTCGACGTTGGTGACCTTGCGGAGAACTTTGTAGGGCCCTGTGTATCGTGGCAAGAGCTTCTCGCACAAGCCTTCACGTCGATGCGGCGTCCAAAGTAGGGCGAGAGAGTCAGCGGGGTAGTCAACATCACGGTGCCATTCATCGTAGTGGACTTTTTGTGAGGCCTGAGAAGCGGTGAGCCTAGTGTGCGGGATTTGGCAAGCGACGCGGGCTCGAGAAGCAACGTCCTGAACATACGCCATTGGTTCGGTAGTATCAGAAGGAGAGAGTGTGTCGATTGGCAATGCAGAATTGCGGCCGTACAGAAGAAAGAACGGAGAATAGCCGGCGGTGTCATGCTTTGACGAATTGTATGCAAATGTAACATAGGAGAGCGTTGCGTTCCAGTCACAGTGGTCAGAAGAGACGTACATGGACAACATGTCTGTAAGAGTTCGGTTGAGGTGCTCCATAAGACTGTTCTGTTCTGGCCACGATCCACCAGAAGCTGGTGCAAAGCCCCATGCCGCAGAATGACGTCATTCAGTAAAAAGTCTGCGAGGTCTGTAGCGCAGCTACTTGGCAAGGCATGAGTTAAAGCATATCTTGTCGCATAGTCAGTTGCGACAGCAATCCATTTGTTGCCTGACACGGACGTCGGGAAAGAACCGAGCAAGTCGAGATCGACGCGGAATAATGGTTCCGGGAGAATGTCGATAGGTTGGAGCAGGCCAGCCATACGGAGAGCAGGACGTTTGCGATGCTGGCAGTGCTCGCAAGCAGCGACATAGGGGCGCACAAATTTATACAAGCCAGGCCAAAAGATCTGTTGCCGCACGCGATGATAGGTGCGTGAAAACCCCAGGTGTCCTGCCGTCGGAGCATCATGCAGATGTTAAAGAATGGTCGCACGTAGGTGTCAGGAAATAACTAGCGAAAATTCTAGGCCATCAGGCTTCATGTTGCAACGATACAGAATTTCGTTGCGGAAGACATATTGATGGAGTGATGGGTTGGAATGTCCTGAAGATATTCGCTCAATGACTGTCTTGAAGGTTGCGTCCCGGCGCTGCTCTGTACCGATGTCACGCAAATCAGATATGGCGAGCACACAAGAATCGCTCGCATGGGCAACGAGGCTAGCAGGGTCCACCGGATAGCGCGAGAGACAATCGGCATCTTGGTGCAACCTGCCAGACTTATATATTACGTCGAAGTTATACTCCTGAAGACGTAGAGCCCAGCAACCTAGGCGACCAGTTGGGTCCTTGAGCGACGACAACCGACGCAGAGCGTAGTGGTCCGTAATAACTGAAAACTCCCGGCCATACAAGTAGGGGTGAAATTTTGCTACAGCCTAGACCAGCACAAGACACTCGCGCTCTGTGATGGAATAGTTTCGCTCAGATGTGGAGAGAAGGCGGCTGGCATACGCAATAACACGCGTTTGGCCTCCCTGGTGTTGAGTGAGGATGGCGCCGATGCCGTGAGCACTGGCGTCTGTGCGAACTTCTGTCGTCGTAGACGGGTCGAAGTGAGCCAGTATTGGTAGTGGAGTGAGCAGGTCGATCAGCGTGGCAAACGCAGCTGCTTTGTCTTGGCCCCAAGAGAATGGCGCGTTCTTTTGGAGAAG